AGCAGACAGTTCAGGGATCCTTGCCTGCTTGTGTATATTGTAGTTAGCTAGCTTTTTCTATTTTAATTTTTCTATTTTTAATTTTAAAAATATTTTTATTAATTCTTTGGCAATCCCATACAATGTATTTGATCATATTTATCTCCTCTTCTAACCCCTCCCAGATCCACCCCTGCCCACTCAGCTTTGTATACTCTTTTTTTTTGAGGAGGAGGAAAGGGTTTATTTGGCTTACACTTCCACATTGCAGTTTATCATTGAAGGAAGTCAGGACAGGAACTCAAACAGGGTAGGATACTGGAGGCAGGAGCTGATGCAGAGGCCATGGAGGGAAAACGCTTACTGGCTTGCTCCCCTTGGCTTGCTCAGCCTGCTTCCTTTTTTTTTTTTTTTAGCATATATATATATTGCTATATATATATAGCCACATTGCAGTTTATCATTGAAGGAAGTCAGGACAGGAACTCAAACAGGGTAGGATACTGGAGGCAGGAGCTGATGCAGAGGCCATGGAGGGAAAACGCTTACTGGCTTGCTCCCCTTTTTTTAGCATATATATATAATCAATAATGGCAATATGTTATGCATCAATAGCAGCAACAGCTTTTCCAGGTTCTGCAGTCCTTTGAACAAAATTGTAGAGACATGCAGCACACTCCAATTTATAAAAACAAACAAACAAACAAAAACAAAAATACAAACAAACAACAACAACAAAAGTAAAAAACAAATTTTTAATAAATAAGTGGAGACTAGAAGAAAGTGTCAGATCCCTTGAAATTGGAATAACAAACTCTTGTGAGCCACCATGGGGCTCTAGGAGCTGAATCTGAGTCCTGCAAGAACAGCCAGTGCTCTTAACATGCAAAAGTAAAAAACAAATTTTTAATAAATAAGTGGAGACTAGAAGAAAGTATCAGATCCCTTGAAATTGGAATAACAAACTCAGGACCCAGTAATGAAATGGTACCAGTCACCTTCAGTGTGGGCCTTCCTACTTCAGTTAACAATCAAGACAGCGCCCCCCCACACACACACACACACAGACATGTCCACGTGCCAGCCTGACCTAGATATTTCCTCAGGAAGACTTAATTCCCCAGTGATTCTAGGTTGTGTCAAGTTGACAACTAAAACACAATGATGTTTTGTTTCTGCCCTGTTTAACTCTCACTGAGACCAGCTGTTGTCTGGTCAGTTGGAAACCTACAGTATTTGTTACAGGCCATAATTTGGAAGAGGGAGCAATCAGGAGACCATTCTGGATCTATCTCAGGGCTGCTCCATAGATTATTGTGCAATTATTCTGTATCTCCTGAAATCAATCCCCTTTCTGTTTCTTCCAGATAACTTGTTCAAACCCAAAGAGAGGTGCATTTCAGAGAAGGAGATGCATATGAGATCTAAAAGGTACTTGGCTCTTGTGGGAGGTATGGAAAGCGTGGGGGAGGGAGGCGTGAAGGGCCCGGATGCTGTCCCTTGGGCCATGGCTTCCAGGCCCACATTCAAGGGCTGAGGTCTTCTTGGCGGCCGATCTGAAAACCTGGCTGAGGTGAGCAAAGTTGCCGAACTGCATCGGAATGTTTGTTCTGCTCTTGGACCAACCTTAGGAAAGTGGTGGGTCTCGGATTCGGGAGTGGGCCCGTAATTAGTCCCTGAGTGATCAGCGGATTCTGAACTGGAACTCTTTAGATGCATTTGCCTCGTGGCTCTGGGCAGCAGCCATTGTGCGGCTGCACCTTTGAAAGTAATTTTATGAGGAGGAGAGAACCCGTTTCTCTGGAGTGCCTTCACTGAGGCGGTCCTGAGGAAAAGCTTCCAAACTGGAAGCCAGCAGAGCATGGGAGCCAGGGGGGCCCCGAAGGGGCCACAAACTAGGTTTTCTGGCATGTCTGTCTCTGACAGTCTTGGCAGGGACCACAATCGTTCTCCCTGCTCTGCCTGGCTAGTCACTGTCCAAGACTCCCACTAACTCCAAAGGCTACCATTCTTTCTGGGACCTGGCCTCTTAACCAGAACACAAAAGCTCAACAGGGCTGGCCATATTCACACACATAAAATGTCATTAAGCTGTAATAGAGTGCCTAGCCCTGGGAGAGATTATAGTAATTAAATCAAATTGATAGTGCACTCAGAGACACCACTGAAATAGGAAGAATAATTTTGCCCCCACTCCAGACCCTAAATCTCTGCTTTTATCGTGATTATGTTGTTTCCATGATAATTAAGTAACTTTGGTTACCTACAGGGAACCTCTTTGAAAGTAAGAAAATAAGAATTGGGGGCATACCATTAATGATATGGCTCCCAGCATTTTAACTGTGGTTTATAAAGGGTCCCTCCATTTGAAGACTTGCTGTTTCATAAATGAAAAGTTGTATATACCTTGCAACAAAAGCATTCTCTTCAATTTAGTGAAAAAGAAAATAAAGAAAGAAAAACCTTTCTTTATTGGTCCCCAAACCTAAAACTGCTTATTATAAGGCCTTGCCCACAAAGCAATTGAAATAATGGACTTTAAGGCAGCATTGGTAGACAGAGTTCTGTTTGACATGTCTCTGAAGAAGACACTGATGTTCAAGGAGGACCAGTAAGCTAGGTGATGTTGTATTTACACCCTTTGGTGGCCCTTACCTGGTCTCCTCAGATGAATCAAGCAATTGGACCTCTTTGCTCAGTGGAATGTGCCTGGCTGGGCTCTGACCCTGGCTCCCACAGTCACCTGAAACTACTTTTTTCTTCATGTTCCATGTCATGGATTATGTTGGTTATATTTTCATTTAAGTTAAGTGGTAGAGTAAAGCTGAAGTTCCCTCAAGATCAATTACCCAGCTGTCCTTTGCTCAGTCCCAGACCTATCTGCTAGGATGCCCACAGTCTGTCTCCTTTCTTTCCCTTCAAAACCTTCCGTTCATACCTTTAAGGAGACACTGTGGTCTTTAACTATATGTGGCATTGTACTGTCCTTGCCTTTCCTTCTATAGCTTACCATTTTCTGGTGTTACCTGTGAGCTTTCCCAAATGTAGATTTCTGTCCTTGGTTTTGACTGCATATACTATTACATTGGGATCTCACCTGGGTAAATAGGGAGGAGCCAGAGGTGGGACACACAAGCTTTTGTTTTCATTTCCCAGTTGAATTGGATAAACAGCTCAAGGAGAGGCAATCTCTGATCTGAGAGGAATTGCCCTCTCAAGGGCTTTGGGACCAGCTCCTCTGTGATCTTCTCTCCTGGTCCTTGTTCCAATCCCTCCTGAGTGCAGTAAAGGTATATTCCTTTATTCAAACATTTACCCAACCCTCACTAATACCTATGACTGGCCAGTCACTGCCAAAGCACAGGCCCCTATGGGAATTTGTGAGTAACTGTGTGCTATGTAGTTGGGCCACAGTGCTTCACAGTGAGTAAGAGGCATTCAGCTTAAGGTCCCAATGCCAGCCCACTGTTGGCCAGCATGGGGCTGTACCCAAACCTCTTGATCTTGGTGGGACTCATATTCTTGTATGACAGCGGGACCCTATGCACCTCTTCCAGCTATGGTGAGGATTGAATGTGTTTATTCACGTCAGATGACTAGCCTGTTGTCAATAATCAGATGTCACCTGCTGATACTGTCATCGTCCTTTCATACTTTGAACTCATGCCTCTAAGTGCAGAATATCTTAACTGTATTTCATCTGACTCTCATACATAAGAGAAATTGAGGAAGAGATGTTTGAACTGAGGGCCTCGTACAGCGTAGCAACCTATAGGCTCAGGATGCAGAGAGTCCATTGTGTTGGAGCAAAATCAGGTAGTATCAGAACCTGAACACTTTGTGTTGGGGAGGAAGCAAACTTCCAGAGAGGGTCCCTTAGGCCCTGCTGGTAACTCAGAAGTTCATTATTTATGTGGGGACAAGGACCAAATATTTGAATCTGTAATGTGTTTAGAATCAGCTTAATCAGACATGCCATAGGCTAAGAGGAAATAAGCAGGTTTTTAATGTTTATTTCCAATACATGATTCTTGCTACTGCCATCCATCTGTTCTTCTTCATCACAGGAAGTCAAAAATTGGATGACCAAAAAGGGGGGGATATGTAGGGAATGTTGGCCCTCAGAATGGCAAAATCGATAGGTTGAACATGTCTGCTTTTACAACTGAATCATTATCAGTGCAAATACAGGATAAGAAGTGACTTCCACATAAATACCTGGCCTCCCCAACTTGCCTGCTGCTCTTCCCAGGACACATCACTGAGACACTGTCCCTAGAGTGTCTATGTCCTGGGACCTCAGAGTTCTTTTTTTTTTTCAGGGCCACCATGGGTTTAACAAGGTTTATAAATATGCTTTTATCTTTTTGTTTCTAATCTTTTATTCTTTCTGAACAAAATAAAATATAATTTTTTAAAAAAGCCATCACATCAAAATTAACAGAAGTAAAAGTGCCCCAAGAGAAGGCACTAGAATCAGAGACTCATTCGTTCACACAGTCAGGGATCCAAAAAAATACTGAACTGAAAGGTATAATATGTATCCAGAGGACCTGGTGCAGACCCTTGGTGCTTCAGTCTCTGTGAGTTCTTATGAGCTTTGCTTGGTTGATTTAGAGCACCTTGTTCTGGTAGCCTCCTTCCCCTCTGGCTCTCACACACTTTTGATCTCCTTTTCTGTGGGGTCTCTGTGCTCTGAGGGGAGGGAGAAGTTCTTTAGATGGTACCTTACCATATAAAGACTCTACCTATGAGCTCCTTCCAACTGACAAGCCAGGCTGCCCCCAACCCCGAACCCCAGAACCTGCTGTCTGGTTCCTCATCATGCCCTCTGTCTGTTTTAGAATCTATAATAACTTGCCGGAAGTTAAAAAGAAAAAAGAAGAGCAAAAGAAAAGAGTGATCTTACAGAGTAACAGACTCCGAGCAGAAGTCTTCAAAAAGGTAGCTGCCTGGCAGGCACAGAGGTGACATGGGTGGTGCACAGAGGAGAAGGGGAACTTGACATCTTTGTTTCCCTCGCTCCTCCAGCAATTACTGGACCAGCTCCTTCAGAGGAATGCAATGTGATCCCAGGTGGCCCTGCTAGCCACAGCCTGGATCTGGAAGACTTCCGACGATGGATGAACCATTAAACTTAACACTATCTTCACACGTGAAAAATACTTTACTTTACTTTAGACTTTTTTTTTTTCACTTTCTGAATGATCCAAACAAACAAAAGCAACAGTCCTGGAGTCAATAGGTCCCATTGCTGGGACTGCTATCCCTCCGAACCTACTAGACTTAGCCCCTTTTATTATTTTGTTTTGGTTCCGTTTTGGCTTGTGAATTTTACTCATTGCTTCTGAAGTTTTCAGTATACCATTTCCACCCAAGAAGGAAAGCTTTATATATTCAAGTATGCTTAAATGTTTTTTTTTGAGGGGCGCAAAAATTTTTGTAAAAATTTTGAGAAGCAAAATCTATCATATTTTAATTCCCAATCCCAATGGCTGCCAGTTCTGAAATCCAGAGTATGGCTCAAAGTCTGTTTAGCACACTCATCTGGAGTATCAGATGCTGACTTTAAAATGGACAGATGAAGAGGCCGAGTGCAGGCAAGCCAGAGAGCCCTCTGCCTCTCTTCCACCCCACCCCACAGTGCCCTCCTGTGCCAGCCAAAGCAATTGTTTCCGTGGGAGCCTGAGATGGCTGGGTGAGGACATCAATGTGCTCTTTTCCTCCCTCTCTCACTGAAGCACATGTCCCCTCTTTCTGGAGCCTTTCTGGAGCACTGCTTTTGTTTGTTTGTTGTATTTGTTGGCAAACTTACAAATTCTACCTGAGGGCTCCTTCCCTGCACTGCCCTCACTCTGTTATGCCCTTCAGCAGAGTCAGAACCTTCACTTTTTCTTTCTGATCCCTTCCTTCCTTCCTTCCTTCCTTCCTTCCTTCCTTCCTTCCTTCCTTATTTCTTTGTGTGTATCTGTCTCTGTATGTATATACAAATATGTGCTCACATGTTCAGGTGTAGGGATGTGTAGGTACATGTGTCTTTACTTGAGGAGGCCAAAGGACAATCTTAGGTATCAGAGTTCAGGCACTATCCATTAAAAAACAAAACAAAACAAAACAAAACAAAACAAAACAAAAACTCATTGGCCTGGAGTTTGCCAGATATGCTGAGCTGACTGTCCCCTGAGCCCCAAGGATCTACCTATCAGAGCCTCTCCAGCACTGGATTACAGAATGACATTTAAAAAAAAAAAAATAAGCCAGGCAGTGGTGCTACACTCTTTTTAAATCAGCACTGGGGAGGCAGAGGTGGGTAGATCTCTTGGTTCGAGGCCAGCTTGGTCTACAGTGAGAGTTCCAGGACAGGCAGGGCTACACAGAGAACCCTGTCTTTAAAAAAAACCAACTAACCACCCAACCAACCAACCAACCAACAACAAAAGCCAAAGGCTCTGGGGAGCCAACTCAATTTGGTGTGCTTTCCCATGCCATGGGAAGCCATCACTATTGAATAGAGTCTTCACTTGTGTGTCGGTTGTCATGTCTGCCATGCTCAGGGGAAGCATGGGACAGAGCCATGAGGATCAGAGGCTCTGAGGTGCCACTGCTGTTCTGGTCTGTGGCCTTGGGCAGACATGCCTGCCAGTCAGCATCCAACTAGGAAAAAGAAAACCCACAGTTATGTGGAATGTTTAGTGGACTGAATTATTCACTGTATAGAGCATTGTCTAGTAAGAAGTGGATGCAGCTCTGAAGAGCCCAAGTAGCCACAGAAATAAAGGAGCTGCTCTGGAAGGGTTCAGGTGTGGCTGCATAGACAAGAGAAAAATGTTTGTACTGCTACACCTGTAGAACTGAAAATCTACCCTACAAGGCTTGCCAGAATCCTGCCCTGGGGATGTACAAGGTGAGCCTCTGCTACAGCAGCAGTGGGAGGCGGTGGTAAGCATGCTTTGCAGTCCCTGGCCCCGGAACCTGCTGAGCTATATCTCTCCAGCGCCCCCTACTGACATGTTTAGCATTTTCCAGCTGCCTAAGGGAGACTATACAAAAGGGCTGGAATCCATTTTAACTGAGCAGACAACAAAAGGGTTGCTTTGTAGGTGAAAAGGGAGAATACAATGAAGACCTGGCACAGTTGGTTGTTTAGCATTGCCTCAGTTTCCTTAATTGCCAGATGCAAGTAAGCATAGTGCCTTCTTCATGCTGTTGCCATGGAAATAAAGTGGATGTGAGTGGAGTGTGAGGAAGGATGCCTGGCCCAAAGCAAATACACCATGAGTGTTTCCTGGCATGCACAGAGGTGGGAGGAGGCTCACATGGGCCGTGAGTTGGTCAAGAGGGCTTGGCAGTGAGATGCTCCAAAAGGCCATTGAATTCGTGGCTTTTCTGCATCTGTTGAGTCCTGTAAGCAGGAAATTTCATCATAAAGTTTGGTTGGGGGTTGAGGAGGTGACTCACTGGGTAGAGGTTTTCCTAGACCTGAGTGAGACCCTGATTTCAATCAATGGGACCCACAGAGTAGGAGGGAGAGCTAACTCTCATAGCTTGTCCTCTGGACCTCCTCGTGTGCACCATGGCATGTGTGCCCCCCCACACACACAAAAACAAAAAAACGAAAAACAGTGAATTAATAAGTAAAGAAATGCAAAATGTTTTTGAAACAGTAAAGTTTGGCTAGTTGGTTTTTAGATTTTTTTTTTTTTTTTGAGATAGTTTCATGTAGCCCAGGCTAATTCTGAACAATCTGTGTAGCAGAGGCTGGCTTTGAACTCCTGATTTTCTTCATCCCTTCCCAAGCTTCTGGTTTCCTGTAACCTTACACATACCTTCCATGTTCCTGTCACCTTGGGAACCACTTCAAAGCAGCTCAGCAAGGTGGTGCTTGCCTTTTTTTTTTTTTTTTTTTTTTTTTTTTTTTTTTTTTTTTTTGGCTATTAGGGCCTCTTCGGGTGCTCCAGTGAATTATTCTATGTGCAGCTTAATTGCTTTTTGAAATATATACATTTTAAGTCAAACCTATGATAGTTAAGGACAGTCTTTCTTGGATGAAGAGACATCTGTCCTTACTTTTCTTTAGTATCTCAAGAATTTCCAAAGCTCTTCCCATGCATTCCAATTCAGGGCCCAGCTGTTCCCAGACTGTTTGGTGATACTTAAGGAGGTGGGTTTGTGTCAGCTAACATTTTAAAGAAAGAATGCTAGACGAAACCAAATTTTGCAAGAGATCATAAAACACTCACCTTCCTGGCAGACATGCTGTGGAGACTTCAAATGCAAAGTAGGAAAAGTCATCCATGGATTAAATGGCACCGAAGAGTGTTTGGAAAGACAGTTCTTCACTAAGTTCCCAGGGAGGGAAACCAGGTAGGAATATGGGGTCTGGTGTGGGGACCAGACTATTTTCTCTGGACCAGTTGGCTCAGCACAAGGTAAAACATCAAAATTTGGTTTCCTGTTGTGCTTATTTTCTTATTGCAGAAATTCTTTTAATGCTGACTATGAATTTGATGAAGTCTGAGTTTCTCTTCTGTCACAAAGTAACAGAAATATATAAGGTTACGATCAATATGGAAATCAAGGCCTACAGAATTAAAGCAGCCACCCTTCCATTCCCACAGGAACTGACCACCATTTGCTGAGTCATTTTTATTGGATTCAGACCTTAAGAAAGACTCTGGAGGATTTGGAAATTCTAAGTAGACTTTGCCATAGCAACTTCAATGAACAAATTCTTCTCTGACAGTGGTTCATTTGCATCTGAGGATGGTTTGGGTCCAGAGCACGGAGACAACTTTTCAGAGATGCAGCAGGCAGAGGGCTGAACCAGTTTCTAAGAAAAGATTCCTGAGCCTGGACCCGGTAGCATTTGAAATCCCTGGAGATGTCCAGGTGGTAAGAGAACTGGGCTGTCTCCTGGTGGTCCCCATTACTTCCTGTGGAAGGAGCAATTTCTATTGGGGTTATGCAGCCTGTCTGCCAGCTGGTAATGAAATAATGGGAAAACAATTGTCTTGGCTCTTCAGCCAGCGCCTGTTGCCAACCCAACTTCCTGGAAGTTGTGAGCTCCCGGGATGAGTCAGCAAAAGCTTGCTCAGGAGGGAGACTCTTTGAAAGAAGTGCTTGTGAGGCAGCCAATCATGACAGAATGGTGGAGATTTTTCTGTCTCACAAAGTCCCCGATTTTCAACACTTATTTTTTCAAAAAAAAAAAAAAAAAAAAAAAAAAAAAAAAAAAAAAAAAATTCAGGCAACGGAGCTGGCCTCAGAGTGTATCCGATGACCCACAGTCTGAGTATGAGGCACAGTAGATGCAGGGTGACAAGAAAGGGGAGGAGGCAGGATGTGTCTGCTCAGGGAGGGTGATCTAATCATCATCGGTATATGAGAGTTCTGGGTCAAGCAACTTAAGAATGTGGTAGAAAAAATGACTGCTCCGGGTTGATGGGAATGTATTCATGTACACTCTCAACACAAAGGAAGTGATCCGCTAAGTGATTAAAATATGTCCATCAGCAGATCGTTCCACGTGATAGGGTTCCTTGAATTTGTACTTTCATCAAAATTGCCCACGAATGTGTAGCTCTGTAAAAACCTTTGAAATCTGCCATCATGGGCAGAGGCAGCTTATTCCGGGACTGGATCACTTTGGATGTTCTTTCTCTCTTGTCTTGTCCCATGCTGTTGGGGCATTACTGGCTTGTGCTGCTATAGCAGACAGCTCCTTAAGATTCTGTGGAGTACCCTCCCCCGTGGCTTGTCTTAGAGGGCATCAAGGTAGAGTCTTAGTCACATGGACTGTAACAATGACAACTTTGCAAGTGTCTCTTGAAAAATCCAGGGCTTTTCTTCAAGTTGCATCCATTGTCTCAACTGAAGATTTAATCTGAGTTCCTCATGAGTGTACACAGAGGAAGGAGGAAATGTGGAAATTCTCCTCTTTTGTTTTGTTCTTTTGCTGAAAAGATTTCCGGACACATCCTGAATGGCACCTGCCTGACCATGGTGCTGCCAGAAAGGTGACTTCAAGTAGTAGCCTTCCTCCCAGATCTAAGCATTGCATCCATTGTCTCAACTGAAGATTTAATCTGAGTTCCTCATGAGTGTACACAGAGGAAGGAGGAAATGTGGAAATTCTCCTCTTTTGTTTTGTTCTTTTGCTGAAAAGATTTCCGGACACATCCTGAATGGCACCTGCCTGACCATGGTGCTGCCAGAAAGGTGACTTCAAGTAGTAGCCTTCCTCCCAGATCTAAGCACCTCCCAGATCTAAGGACCTGGGAGTATCTAAGTATCTAAGATACTCAGAGCATCTCAAAAGAATGCAGCATTATTAAAACAAGCAAACAAAGCCCTTTTAAAATTCTTAAAAGAGAGGGTAAGAAGGTGACTCAGAAAACTGCTTGACTTGCAAGTGTGGGGACCTGAGTGCTAACCCTAGAACCCACATAAAAAACAATAAAAAATAATTTAAAAAAGCCCAGTCCAGCAGCATAACCTGCAGTCTCAGTGCTGGAGAGGAAGAGACGGAGGATGTCTGGGCTCAGTGGCTAGCCAGTCTAGCTAAAAACAATGAGCTCTAGGCTTGGTGAGAGACTCTGCCTCAAAAACTAAGGTGGGGAATAATTCATTGTTAACCCCTGGATTCACACATATTACACACATGCACACAGAAACATACAAAGACATATGTACACACACAC